TAGCTCTTATATCTTCTGAAATCGACGCGTTCATACATACGGACAGACGGACAGACAGACGGACAGGGCCAAATCAACTCAGCTCGTCACCTTGATCAAGAATATATATACTTTGTGGGKTCTGCCACGCCTCCTTCTCCCTGTTACATACATTTCAACAAAACCATTATACCCTGATTTCCCATTGAAAATGGGTTCAGGGTATAAAAATATATGATCTATCTCCTTTAGTGCAAGAGATATTTCAATTCAATTTTTATTTTCAATTTTTATAATAAACATCAAATCATAACTCTTATTTTTGATTTTTATTATAAAAATCAAAGGTAAGAGTTATGATTTGATTTTTATATAAAAATTGTTCTGAAATAATTTTTTTTGATTGTTATCATAAAAATCAATTTTAAGTTTATTCTTTTTTTGAATTCGCAATAACAGAAATCCTTATGTGTGTTTTTCTCTCTCTTCTCGGGAGTTCTTTTGACCCTCATTTTTTTTAAATGCGTAACTCTTATTGCGGTTCCTGCCACCTGCTGTTGAAAACAACGAAAATAGGTATTTATATTTTAAAATTCACTAATATTTGGTTCACTTGTGGTGTTAGTAAACCTTCAAGTACAGAAGTCTTAAGGATTTTAAAAAAATATACATGATAAATAATTGATTTAAAGAATAATAATAATAATAAAACAAAATGYAAAATAATAATAATTTATGTATCTATTGTTTGTATATCAAGAGGAAGAATTAACAAGATAAAGTCATTTAAAAGTTTTATTCATATTTATATTTATATCGACCAGTGTATTATTGTATGTAAGTCATGAAACGACTCTATAATATTACAGAAAAGCGAAATTGTTTCATGGTTATTTTACTATTTAGATATCAGGGATGAGGTGTGAATACAAAAGAAATGGGCTGCTATATTACAATAAAGTATCAGTTATCTTGAAAATATGTATTAATCAATCCAAAATCTTTAGCTTTTTCTCAATCGAGATAGGGGCATCTGATATTAGTAGAGCCATCTTCGCCTTGCACTTTGTTTTTGTTTATG